GTTAACGTCTTCACGCGCTTCGCGCGCTTCCCGTCTTCGCGCCGAAACTCACGTCTTCACGTCTTCACGTCTTCGCGCGCTTCGCCCCAAAATTTACGCACCGCTACGGCCATCAATGTGAATATTGGTCCACAAATTTTCTCTTCTATCACAAGGTTGAAGAGTAAAAGATTTTACTTGCTTGCCTCCGCCGCTTCTGTTTCTACAGGCTGTGCTCTCTCTCTTGTTCTTCCTTTTTTATAGGCTCCACCTCCCTCAAAGAGAGAAGTCGGGGCGAACCCCATAGCCCGAATAAGTCCGTCAGAGGTCGGCACCACCAGGCCTGGAATGTCTACTGCTCAATGCCTGGAACTCCCTGAAACACAAACAGATCATCCACGCATCAAACAGTTCTCTTTCCGTCTCAAGTGGCCGTGAAATTTATTGGGCAGCTCATCCCCATACCCCATACTGCATAAGAGATACAAGCTGTCAACAAGCTGTCACATAGCTTCGCCCCTGGGAGTTGCTTCCCCTTATGCTGGATTCCATCATCAGCCTTAATTAACATGGTTTGACGCACCCTCCCCGCCCAGCTCTCCTGGCAGTTCCTGGCTGTGCAACACATCATTCCCATTGGAGTACGGTGTCTATCTTAAACAGTCCTCAAGTGCAGCTTTTACATTCCCACTCCTCTTAGGCTAGGACAACAAGAAGCCTCAACTACCGCTGCACTGGGGTAACCGCGCTTTAGCTCCGTTCCCATTGCTGGCTTGGCGTAGTAAAATACTCCCTCTGCAGGGGCTATTCTACGTGGCACCCTGCTCTTGGGGCAATTGCAAGCCAACGTCACGACTGTGAAAATTCTGGGCCCACCGTCCCGTGGGTGGAGCACTCGTCACTCTTGTACTTTCCCGTCTTGGCTGCCCAGTGGCCCATCATGGAGTTCAGCGCTATCGCCACTATGGTACACACACAAATTGTACATCTACTACCCAATCCCCTTATCATCAATCAGGATTTTCAGGCATCATCGCAATTTCCCTTTCACTTTATGTCTCCACTTTCGTCTCTCCGATGAAGCCACCCTCGTACAGGTCAACTGTTTGCGCCTCATTTCACTAAAACTGTTGCGCCGGCTCCAGTGACTTCCCCGATCAGGTCCAATTGTATCCATTCTCCCAGTCCTCGCACAGCACCTGCAGGCGCATTTGTCGCAACACTGGCAGTCTTTTATCCGGCTGCCCAGACTGTGCCTGTCTTTTACTGTGTTTGCACCACGACCGCTGTTCTGTGCATCTCCGCAGGCTCCAAGACCAACCTTTTGACCTTCCCAACCAGCTTCATGTTCTTGCGGGCGGCTGAAGTAACGCCAACCAAGCGAACTTCCCCTTGCCCTGAGCATCCTGCGTGCCCCTCCTTGATGTCCATGACTTTCGTGATCGACTTTCATGGGTCTTTGATACACCTCACAAGAGGGTCTCAGTTGCTTCGTGATCTTCATCCCATCCACCAAAAGCTTCTCTTTTCCTGACTGGTTGTTCATTGGTCCGTTCCCTGCCTAGGCACTCACTTGATCGCGTCAAATATGCCGCGCATCATTTCCAATTTTCTTTCCTGTTCCTGCAGCTTTCTCTTCTGAACTTCACAATGACTTTGCTGCTTGTCCTGATGCTCTCCGGCTGGTCCTTCTGACGAAAATCCAAAGCCTTCACCATGTCGAGCGTTGCATCCAGCTTGGCTGAGACCTGATTCTCCACTCCATGGAGGCGTTCCAGGACTCCCTCCAAACCAGCAACGACTCCGCTGCGAGGGCTTTCTGCAAATCTTCAAGCGAAAGACTCCGATCCTGTCTCAACTCCCCGAATTCTTTTCCTGGGCCTCCCATCTGTCATGGTGTTCTCGAACCAAGTCTGCCAAGTCCCGTCTTCCTGGTCCACATCCATTGGTGGTTTGGTCCCAAAGCTGGATCAAACTGCGTTTGAGACCTGCTTTGGGAATTCTGCCCGTAGATTGCGCAGAAGAAACTGTATTCCCGAGGGCCCCTGCCTCTGATCTGGCAATGGCAGCAACGAAAGGCCTCAAGCTCTGTCTCGCAGCGCTGCGTCCACACGCGTCCAAGGCACGGAAACCCCGCACCTCGGCCGGGGGTCTGGGCAGGGTACCCCAAAAGTATTCCTCCCTCATTGAGCGGCTGTGAGAGTTTTACTTCACCTATACCTGCACCTATCATCCCGGTCCTTGAGGAGGATGCTGAGCGTAACAACCCCATGGCCGCGCCCCAAGACACCCATCTTGGTGTCACTTGCGCGATATCCCTGTAGAATGGATTGCGCAGCGTCACTGCGAAAAGACACGAAGACTTCAGCCTTGGACCGCCCGTGGGCAATCACGCATTTCGCGACGCACGGCCTCCACCTTTACTTGCGCATCGCTTTTTAACCGACTGGCAGGATCTTGCAGGCTGCTGGCTCTGCGGCGTTCGTTTCGTAGCCACTCAGACAGCCGAGCGTTGGCGGTGAGGTCTGCCTCCGGACGTCTTCTGAACACGGGCCAGGAGGCGCGCGAGAAAGTCAGCGGCCGACCGCTGCCCTTTCTCGTAAT